CAACTACCTTAATCTCATTCCTTTAAATATACTCCTAACCATCATTTATAATTAATTACCAAACGAATAATTTATTCGCAAGTACAACTCGATTCAATTAGTGAAAACTCGTGCTCGACACATTCGTTTAGTTAAGTAAGTCGAGCTCAAAGAGCTGAGTGAGTTCGTTTATTAAATTAGTCAAGTCGAATTTATTCGAAAACAATTCATTTATTTATTTATATTTTTTTATAAATTTTAAAATAAAAAAGTTGAACAACTTGCTTAAAGTTTTTTGGATTTACCAAACAAGTTGAATCGAGTTTTAACGAATCGAGGTCAAATTTAGGTTGTCTGATAAATCAAACGAGTCAAGTTGAATCGAGTCAAACCAACTTGTTCATGAAAATGAGCACGAACTCGAACTCAAGATATTTGGCCTTGGCTTGAAAAATACACATACTAAAGTGATAACCAATTAATTAATAAATCAACCAAAAGAGCTACTATAATACTACACCCATAGTCTCAAACTATACACCACTCAAAAAATGGCGCCGGCACACACAGAGGAACAAGGCGCCAAAATCCGCGGCGACGTGCTGGAGACCATCCTCTCCCGCGTGCCGGCCGTCGACCTCGTCGCCGCCTGCCACGTGTCTACCTGGTGGCGCGACGCCGTCTCCTCCTCCCTCCTCCACCACAGCCCGCTCAAACCCTGGCTGATCGTCCACGCGCAGGCCACCCACTCCCCCCACCACACCACCGTAAGCGCATACGATCCACGCTCCGGGATCTGGATCCTCATATCTCGGCCGCCGGCGGCGCACGCCCCCGCCGCCCTCGCCTCATCCCCGTCCAATTTTCTCTACGCGCTGTCGCCATCCGAGTTCCGATTCTCGCTCGACCCGCTGGGATCCGACTGGTGCGCCGCGGATCCTCCCCGCGTGTGGCGCGCGGACCCAATCGTCGCACGCGTGGGGGAGCACCTAGTGGTCGCAGGCGGCTCGTGCGACTTCGAGGACGATCCCCTGGCCGTTGAGATCTACGGATTGAGGACGCGCACGTGGCGCGCGAGCGACCCCATGCCGGTGAATCTGAAAGGGTCCGCGTCGTCGTCCTGGCTCTCGGCGGCCGCTACAGCCGGTAAGCTCGTCGTCGTCGAGAAGCAATCCGGCGTTCTCCACTGGTTCGACCCGGAGACCGGGTCATGGTCCGACTCGGTTTCGCTGGATCCGGGTCAGACGGTTACCAATTACAACATTGGGTGCTTCAACGGCGGTTTGCTGTTGATCGGAGTGTGCAGGTTCGACGGCGCGGACAGGGTGAAGATTTGGAGATTCGCGGGAAGTGATTTTTCCGATTTCGAGGAAATTGGGGAAATGCCTGAGGAATTTGGGCGGCGGCTGAGGGACGAGTGTTTTGGGAATTTCTCGGTGGAGGTCCGCGTTTCGGGGAGCGTGGTGTACGTTTGCGCGGCGGAGGAGGTGGTGGTGTGCGAGGTGGTGGGCGGCGGAGGCTGCCGGTGGTGGAGCGTGGGAAATTTGGTGGCGCGTGAGGGGATTATCGGGAAGAGGCTGGTGTTCTCGAGCTCGGAGGTGGGGATTGGGGACCTGCGGCGGGCCATGGTGGTGAACAAGTGGAAGTTTGAGGTGAGTCCGGTGAACTGAATGGGATGCGTGGCTCGTGAGAATGTGGATAACCGTTTTTTGAGACCATTGAATGAAATATAACTTCCCATTATCCAATTGCTTGTCCTCTTTCTCCGGTTGAGCTGATGCAAATAATAGACCTTATTTTTTGTTAAACTAGTACACAGCCCGTCGATGCACGAGGTGCACAATTTTAAGATCATTTATCCCGTCTTATAATTATATAAATGAATAAAGAAAAATATAAGAGATATATATAGTACGTGACATGTGTGAGGCACGGGATATATTTTTTGAGGATTATTATACTATAAGATGCAATATTCAATAAACGTTTTACAATACTTAAATATAAATAATATAAATATCTAATACATACACGATATGTAGAATAATAAACCAAATTGCAAATCTGAAAATATAATTAAAAAAATCGAAAATATATTTCACTAAACATGTACAAAAATATCTAAATAAATACATGAAAAAAATATACGTTTCAAATTTCGAAATTAAAACAAAAATTCAAATTTTTTTTTTGAGATTTGTAATTTATAATGGGTAGAGTAGATATATATTGCTGTTAATATTTTTATCAGAAAATCTGAATCTGAATATGCAGAAATCGATTTGAACAAAATCAGAACAAATTTATATACAATTAGATAATAAATTAAATAATAAATAAAACCTTTTTTATTTTAGTAAAGATTTTAATTACTTTTTTTTTACTTATGAGATGTTATGGGGTTTTTTTTGTTAAAACGATTTTATGGTATATAATACAAATACAATTAGAGAATTGAACAAAATCAAAACAGATTTCCATACAATTAGATAATAAGAAAGAATTAGATAAGGAAAAGAAGGAATTATATAAGGAATTTTGAATCTACTTTTTCTTTTTCTTTTTTAGTATAGATAGATTTTACGTACAAATTTTGACTTCACTGATTTTGTGGGATTTGTTTTGACAAAATCGATGTTAATATGGAATAAGACAAATAAATAAAGTATTTTTTTATGGGATATAAGTCAAATAAATAAAATAATTAAATAAAATTCTGGATAGAAATAGCAATGCATTAATTACGTTGACTTTTCAATTTACTAAATTTGGTAAATAGGATACCTTATTATATAAGTATAAATATGTCTTATTCGGTTTCGCTATGAAGTCATCGGATGACTCGATTTATGGAGCGACCCATAGTCATTCACAAATGGTGTACTGACACATGTCCTGCAAAAAATTCACAATGGATACGTGTCAACACATAAAGTTATGGATTGTTTCATAAGGGAAACATCTGATGGCTCCATAGCATTCTTGATGTCCTATTAAAGAAGCTTAAGTACTTTCAGATGGGAGATTTTACAGTTCCGCTACGGAACCATTCCATCGTGTTTGTAACCGTTAGATCAATTATCCACGATGGTTACACGGTGACCTAACGGTTACAAATCTTGACCGAATGATTCCGTAACAGAACTGTAGCATTTTTCCTTTCTAATTATTAATGCTATTTAGTATTAAAAGAATGGAAACAGGACTAGTGCTGTTAAATTAAACGAGCTGGCTCGGCTCGGGTCGAGCTCAGCTTGTTAAGGCTCGATTTGCCTCGAGTTCGAAGCCTTAACGAGCTGAGCTCGAGCTCATTTAAAGCTTGTTTGGTTAACGAGCCGAGCTCGTCTCGGCTCGATAAGGCTCATTAAAGCTCGAAAAGTGAAATTTATGTAATTTTTTATAGTTCGGCTCATTAAAGCTCGAGATCGGCTCGTTAAGGCTCGAGCTCGAGGCCTTAACGAGCTGAACTCGAGCTCAATTTTTGGCTCGTTTACTTAACGAGCCAAGCTCGGCTCGGCTCGTTAAGAGCTCGAGCTCGAGCTCAAAAATCTTAAGCTCGAGCTCGGCTTGGCTCGTTTACAGCCCTAAACAGGACTAGCCATTCCAGGATTATTTTCCTTTTGATCCATATGTTTGGAAGTTAACTAATTTAGGTTAATGGGCCATATGATTGATGGTCCATATGTTTGGAAGTTAACTACTTTAGGTTAATGGGCCATATAATTTAGTCCTAACTTTTTGTACCATATTCATGGTGCTTTGCTTACTGCATGTTCACTAGTAATTTGATTCCAATATAGTATTTATTGCACAAGAAACTGTATACAAAATTAAAAAAATCAGACACTGAATGCAATTATCCTGCTCTCATCACTTATATGTGTAAACTCTAACAAACACCCCTAAATTTATGCATTCTTCTGTACAACTCTTTTTTATTTTTATTTTATTTTTTTTTTATTTTTTTTTTTATTTTTTTATTTTTTTGGTACAAGAAGAGAGGCCAAAGCCTATCGGTCTTATGTACAACTCTAGATGATCGAAAAAATTGACCTTTATTATCCACGATAAAAAAAAAAAAAACGTTTTCGACATCATCTTGGATAGAAAATGCTATGTGACATATTGGCAACCGAGTCATCGCTTCTCCCGTTCTGTAGGGGTAGTAACGTATTTTCACTCGAGTCGTTTAGTTGCATGGTTCGCTCGTCCATGAAAGGAGGATTAGTCGGAGCCGGTAGTTCATCTCTGTTGACGAGCATTAGTAAAGCCCTGGACATAACTGGCCTTAAAATCGGGTTTTCTTGCGTGCATAAGAGTCCCACATGGACCACACGCAACATCTCGTTTTTTATGTCAATGTTGTTGTTGCTGTTATTGTTCGTTAGGCTCGGGTCTAGGAGCCTCTCGACAGCTTGTTCCTTGAAATGCCTCCATACCTATAGGAATATGAATACGAATAAAAAAAAAAAAAAACGAGCATTTTAAAATTTGAAGCTAACTAAAACGACGATGTTTTGTCGGTATGTATACATACGATGGATATAAGGCTGTCCGAATACTCTGAGGTTTGGCTTCGGTTATTCATTTTTCCGGTGACTATTTCTAGTAGAAGAACGCCGAAGCTGTAGACATCGGCTTTTTCTGTTAGCTTGCCGTGTGCTAGGTATTCGGGGGCCATATATCCCCTGCAAATTTTTTTCGTAAATTTTCAAGAATTATTATTATTATTATTATTATTATTATTATTATTATTATTATTATTATTATTATTATTATTATTATTATTATTATTATTCGTCAGTAGTAAAATTTCTAATGTATTTAATAATATTCAAGAATTTATTATTGTTACATTACTACTTACAATGTTCCTGCTATGCCTGTGGTTATATGACTTTTGTCATCTTGAAATGACCTGGCCAGCCCGAAATCGGCGATTTTCGCCCGGAATCTCGAGTCTAAGAGGATATTGCTCGCCTTTATGTCACGATGAATAATCCTTATCTTCGTGTTTTCATGAAGGTATACTAATCCCTCGGCTGTCCCGATTATGATTTCGAACCTTTTTTCCCAGTTTAGCGTCTTGCCTCGGATTGGATCTGCAAAAACCATCGAACGAACAGAAATTAATCGAAAAAAATGATTGTTAAAGTAAATTCAAGACACAATATAATAATCATATATATATACTGACCGAAAATGAAGTGGTCGAGGCTTTGGTTCTGCAAGAATTCGTAAACGAGAAGGCTTTCAGGTCCCGAGCAGCTGCACCCTAATAACCGAACAAGATTCTTGTGCTCGACGCTACTTATAATGTTGACCTCATTATAGAAATCGGCCGCTCGGTGCTTGTTGTTGAAAAAAAGCCTCTTGACCGCGATTTCTCTACCGTCCGGTAAAACACCCTGTATAAAAAATTCGAGCGTGCATGGATTAGGAAAATAATTATTCGCCATTCGGTAAGTGTTTATTGAGCTCGAGCTCGATTTTTCTTTTTTACCCTGTAAACTGTACCGAACCCTCCTTGCCCGAGCTTGTTGGCTTCGTCGAACGAGGCCGTGGCTTTTTCGAGAGTCGAATATTTGAAGTTTAAGCTGCTGTCATGAAGAGTTTTCACTAGCTTATGGGCATCTCCTTTTCTCTTCCTCTCAATAGCTTTGTTCCTCCAAATATACACTCCGATATAAGCACCGGTCGCCAAAACTGCCGCTGCACTAACCGATGCCACCACCATCGCTATTAATCTCCCTGCTTGAAAAAATAATCGAAAGGTTAAATAAACGAGCCAGAAATCGAGCTCGGCTCGTTTATCATTGTTAATTAGCCGAGTTCGAGTCTTAACGAGACGAACTATAGAAAATTATATAAAAATACTCTTTTCGAGCCTTAACGGGCTGAGCCGAGTTCGGGTCATTATCCAAACGAGCTTTAAATGAGCTCGAACCGAGCCGAGCCAGACTCGTTTAATTTACAGCACTACAAAACGCAAAAAAAAAAAA